AAAAAAAAAAATTCAACAATAACTATTTTTCTTATTTAAAAATGTCATGAATTATTAAAATACAAACCCTTGAATAGACCACTTAAAAAAAAAACGTTGTAAGTATAACAAGTATCACCTTTTTGATGTTTTTTTTTTTATTTTTTAATTTTAGAAATATACATGGCATTTTCTTGCATGTATTAAGATGCATTTGTTTGTTATATATATATGCCTGTCAGTTCATTTAATTTTCTCTCACTTGCTACTTTTTTGTTACTTTTCTAGTTTCCGTTTTTTCTTCGTGTATTCACTTTGTTAATATCGTATTGGATATTTTTTATTTCTATTATTTTTAGGGTCTATAAAGAAATGAACAGTACCAACACACACGATAATAATAACTCTAACGTTAAAATGTATTCAAACGATATAGAAGATAATTTAAATTGCTTGGATCAATTTAGATTTATTGATGGTCGAAGATTTCATAACGAAGATAATGCTAATTATTATTTTCCTAATGATAAACAAGAATCTGATAGATTACGAACTCAACATTTTTGGGTTTATGAAATTTGGAAAGGAAATCTTTCTTCACCAATCAAACAGAGATTAGAAAAAGGAAATATGTCTGTACTTGATATTGGTTGTGGTGATGGAACTTGGATTCTTGATTGTAGTACTACTTATCCAAATTCTACTTTCGTTGGAGTTGACTTTTCTCCAATGTTTCCTTCACCAAGTAGCTGTCCTCCTAATGCCGGATTTTTACAACACAATGTTCTTGAGGGTTTACCTTTTCCTGAAAATACTTTTGATTTTGTATTTTTGAGATTTATGTCTACATTTACCCAACGAAGTTGGGAACAACTGATATGTGAGGTTATAAGAGTACTTAAATATGATGGATGGGTAGAAATTATGGATTTTGTTCCTGAATCTATGAATGTTGGCCCTACATCAAAATTACTGTCTAATTCATGTAAGTGAAATTAAATTTTTTTAATTAAATTTTTTTAGATATTTTTTTGTTTTAATATTAATCTGTTTTT